TCCTGAGCTGTGGGACTCCACAGCCCCGGGGGAATGTGATTTCCTAAGGAGAATACATGGAGTTTGCAGCTGTGCTGTCCAGCTAGCGTCTCCTGCTGTCCTGCAGTGGATCCCCATCGCCTGCCTGTATGAAGAGAGGACTTGTCTGTGTTTCCCGACAGCTGTTGTGTCTCCTCTTTGGCCAGTTGCTGACCCATCTCTTCCATCTAAATCTGGCCTTTGGTACAGACAGGAACAGAATGGGTCCCCGATGCCACCCATACATCCTGAGACATCCCTCCTTGTCCACCTGTTTCCTGGTTTGCTCTAAGAAACAGCTCATGAGTTTGTGTCTACTGTCACGTGCAAAATTTACGGCAGATTCGGGTGATCTCCTTCCATCACGATGTTTTTGTGTTAAAAGCATTGGGTGGCATTTATGTTACCAGCATAGAATACTTTCCTCTGTAACCCAAACCTTGCTAAATTAGTGTACTGCTTAAATCTGCTGGCATAGAAGTTACCAGAAGTCTTCTGTGTTTAAAGAAAATATGTCCATGAGTAGAGATTGTTTTAATATTTTCTGAAGGTTAACCCTTTTTGCTTTTGTTTTTATGTCTTATGGCTCAGAGGTTAAGAGCATTGACTGTTCTTCTGGAGGTCCTGAGTTTAATTCCCAGCAACCATGGGTTAGCTCATAATCTGAGCTAACGTATAGCTGAGAGCTAATGCCCCTTTCTGGCTTGCAGGCACACAGAACACTATATGCATAATAAATTAATATTTTTAAAAAAGATACATATCTTTTAAAAAAATTAAAAAAGGAAAGAAGCTGAGTGTTAGTGGTGCCATAGCATGCTGCAGAACAAAATGATTGCCACAAAACATCATTTGCTTCAGACGAAACTTCTGCCTTCAGTTGCTGTTAAGGCAGCCAGGCCTGTCAGCCTTAGTTTCAGTGAGTGTGGGTATGTCCCACAAAAGCAGATACTCAGGGTTTCAGCTGAGGCGTGCACGCTCACACATGGGTCAGGAGAGCCTCTCTGGTTCTTCACTCATTTTCCTGCGTGCTACCTGGTAGCTGTCAGGTTTATCTAGGTAGAAAGATGGGTGTCTGTGGAGTTTATGAAACTAGTTCAGGTGCCTCCTCTGTGCCTGTTTTGAGGGATGCTGCAAATGCACTGAAGAGCAACAGAACGGAGAGGGAACACCTGTGCTGCCTTTCCAAGTTTCTGTCACGCTCTGGAATCCATGTGCATGAATCTCGAAAACTCTTTATGTTTGTCTGGCTCACCTGCATTGCATTATGGGCTTACTGCCTTGACAGAACCAAAGTTACAAGTGTGGGTTTTGAAGACTGTCTGGATCCAGATTTAAAGGCTGTGTTGTTTGCAGTAAATCCCCTGAATTAAATGTAGCCACAGCCTTTCAGAAATCTCCAACACATCATCCCATGTTACTAACCACAGACTGTTTCTGATGACTGTTAGGAAGGTACTAGAAAACATGTCCTCCTCATCCCCAGAAGAGGGTAAAGGGAAAGGAGGGAGCCATGAGATCTGATGCAGTGACGTAACATGGCCTGATCTGAACCTGGTTAGTAGAGAAGCTCCAGTTCCCTTCTGGATCCTCCTCTGTGTGCAGAGTCACAGTGCAACCTGGAAGCCTTGCAGAGACAGCACACCCACAGTGCCACCTCCCAAACCAGATGAGCCAGGCCTGCACCCACATGAGAGATTCGACATTCTTACTCTTCATTGTCTCAAGAGGATGTGAAACATGTGAATGTGTGGAAACGTCATTGATTAGATCTCTGCACCGTGGTTCTATAGTCTCCCCCAGTTGTGTTTCCAGGAGCTGCCCCTATTCCTTTGTGACCATGACAGACTCTGACATTGACATGGTTGCAGAATGATTTCCCCATGTTGTTCCGGGCCTCGTGTATGAGCAGTAGTTTCAACAGTAGCAGTGCTAACCCATGAGCAAGGGCAGTACCAAGTGTCTTATTGAAAGTTGATGCTGTGTTTGCTGTATGCTGCCACTTTGTATGCGTTACCCCTCCTAGCCCTGCCAAGTTCTCTTTGTTAGATGAGGAAAGCACAGCCAAGTATGCCAAGGCCACACAGACAGGTAGTGGACTGGGGTGTATTATAGCCAACCGTGGGGAAGACCTGGAGTTCCCAGGACAGCATGGCTAGATCGTGGCTACAGACGCAGTGAATTATAAACCAGCCATTCACTGTCACTTACTTTGGCAGGAAACTCCCCCCGTGGGAGCACATGGTGAGCTGCCACATTTAAAAGCCGGGCAGTGAGTCAGATTCAGTTTTTAACTTGGGCTTCCTCCATGGTTCTCCTTGTGAGTCTTGATCCAATGAATAAAAGTAGTCGCAGCAAATCAGCAGAGCGAAATGCTTCCCGTTTCTTTGTGAATGGCTGTAAGGACAGCCAGCCAAGTTCCCTACCAAAACGCAAATGCTATTTCTCTGGTCATAATTGTGGCCTGTAATTGTAAGGTTAATTGGGTACTGTTAGGTACCAGTGGGATGTTTATGTGTCTCTTGCTAAAGATGCAAAGTAGACTTATCTGGCGTGATAGTGTATGCCTGGACTGACCTTGAGATGCTGGGGCAGGAGGATCTAAATGGCTTCAAAGCCAGCCAGGGCCCAGTGAGACCTCATTTCAAAAAACAACTTTAAATATGACTCAAGACTTCCAAAAATTAATTCTTATATATGTGTTCCAAAAACACATATGTAAGAACCAGTTGAAAAGAAAACCGACTATTTGCTCAGGAGAAGATAATTTAAAATGAAAAGCCATAAGGGATGCCTTTATCCTGGACCATTTATATGAGGGGGTACCCACTCATAGAGTGTTTCTGAGCATCCTGTGTCCCACACACGTCTCAACGTTAGGAATCTACATTGAGAATGCAAGAGGTGGCAGGATTCATGTGTGATTTGAAAGATCTTCGCATCTGTGACGGCCACGTTTCCCTGCATCATATCCTAGCCTGCACACATACACTGGCTTCTGCACTGGGCAGGGTGGGGCATCCCCTCATGCTGAAGCCCTTCTGTAGACCTCTCTACTTCTGTCTCTCTACGGCAGATGTACTCAGCAGAGCTTTTAGCTGCTTTTTCTCCCTTCCGTTGTCCGCTGTGGTCACGCTCTTATTACAGCCACCGCGTCTCTAAGATTGCCCTAGTCCATGTCGACCAGTCAGTAACCAGCTCACAGTCTGCCCTGGAATTACCCACAGCAGCTGACTGCCCCTTGAAATGCAGTCCCCACTGAACAGAGAGGTAGGGCTTTCTCTGCCTCTGTGCTGCCCCCTTTGTTTTTGGCCCTTCCCTAGACCAGGGTGTCATCTTTGGATGCTGCCTTCCGTCTCTCTACACTGGCCGTGCATGCTTTTCTAATCCCATACCTTCAAATGCCATCTAAAAACTACAGCTGTCTCTTTGATCTCTCTTGTGACTTCAGAATTGATATGCCAGCTGCTTACTCCCTCCTCCACGGAGACATCCCATAGATCTCTCCAACTCAAGGTATCTAAATCCAGGTTCACCACTGTATTTTGCTTATAATCACACACACACACACACACACACACACACACACACACACCGACACACACACACACACACACACAAAGTTAAGAAATGAAAACCATTTAAATAGCATAATAATTCTCCTATGTAACAAATCCAAGCACAGAATATGGCTGGCAACTCTCTGGAACTCGTAAGTGATCCCAGGCTCCTGGTTGCCTGCTGTTCTGATGGTGTTGCTATAGTTCCTCTTCGTGCTAGATCTTCTCTGCTCGCACCTTCCTTCCTGTCCCTGCTCAGGCTAGCAGAAGGGAGGGGGAGAGAGCTACAGTCTCTCTCCTTGCTTTCAAACAATTGTGTGAACACTGTGGTGAATTCCTATGCTGCCACTTCATCAGCCAGCACCTAAAGCACAGCCACGCCTAACTGCCGGAGACACTCTAAAGCTTCATGTTTTAAACCACATGGCCAGACATTCAGCTAAACTCTAGGTTCCTGTACTAAAGTGGAAGAAATGGATGTTAGGAGGAAACTGTCTTTGTCAAACTTGACTGACACACACTCTTCCTTCAGACCACACCTACGTGACACACACCCTTCCTTCAGACCGTACCTAACTGACACACAACTCTCCAGGTCTTTGAGTAAATACCAGTTATCAAAGAGGCCTTCGGACGAACCTGTCTAACCTAGGATTCCCTCTTGTGAGTCTGTCCCTTTACGCACGTTGACATCCACGCACCATAGATCCTGTCCTATGGTGATAACACTCATGACTTTCTATATGATCTGATTGCTGCATGCCCTCCTCACTAGACTTGGGGAAGGGACTTCACTGTTAGCTCTGATACATCCTGTGGATAGAGTAGAGCTATGAGGAAGAGCGAGCCGAGCCACCATGCAGTTTGGTTTGTCCCGGGTGCAGTAGAATGGTTCGCCCACTTTCTTACCACCTTAGCCTTTCCCCCTCCTTAGGGAACCTCTGGAGATGGCCTTTTACCGCAGCCACCTGCCACTACTTCTCAGGCACGCTAGCCACGCTGCACATACTCAGCAGCACATGTGACCGAGTTGCTTTTGTGGACAGCAGGTAACAGTCCATTATCCCAGCAGCCCTTGGGCAGTGCTGCCCTAGGGAAGCTGGTCAACATAAAAACAATGTCAAATTCTCTTAGCCTCACCTCTGTGGCTTCCTCTTTTAACAGAGAATCTGAGTTTTTCTATTTAAATGGAAATCTGGCTGATGCCTAGAAAACTAGCATGTGGCCTGCTCCATATGCAAATGTTCTCCTGGGTGATTTTTACCTGTGACAGAATTGATGGGAAGCCTGGTAAATCGCGAGCGTTCTTAACCTCATTATAGATACACTGCAGATGTGAAAATGCAAAGTGTGGAAGTCAAAATGTGAAAGCGGCTCTCAACTTGTTTTAATGGGCGTTCTCTGTGTCTTGTTATAACCCAGGGACCTGGCTGCAAGAAACTGCCTAGTAGGGGAAAATAATATTCTGAAAATCAGTGATTTTGGAATGTCTCGGCAAGAAGACGGTGGAGTATATTCATCTTCCGGCTTGAAGCAGATTCCGATTAAATGGACAGCACCCGAGGCTCTTAATTATGGTATGAACGGACTCCAGTTTTCCTGTTGGTAGTGAAGGTGGGCTGCATCAGCACAAAGCACCCACGGCATGGTTGGGGTAGAACAGAATCCAGCCTGGAGCTTGAAGGGCAACCCAGATTCAGTGTATGTTCTTATCTTGTTCTTAGTCACAGACCCCAGGGTTCATACCTGTGAGATTGCTAGGTTACAGTAGCCAATGAGTGTCCAAAGAACGATTCCCTTTGTTATGCACCGTTCCTCAGAACACTGCACATTGCACGTGCACACTTTTATACTTGCATCAAGTGTTGCAGGGTCTGGTCTGCTAGTTTGAATGTCTTATAATTGGTTCAGTAATCTCATCTAAGGTTAAATAGTGTCAATCAAGTCCTCGATTCTCCCTCCGCAGGATTCTGGTCTCAGCCTCTTCTGTCCCTGGAGTTTACATAAATCTTGAGCAAAGAGAGACGTGGGTGTTGTCTCCTATGAAAGCAGGCATTTATTTATTTAATTATTATTATTATTGTCCACTGAAAAGTTTTCCATATCTCTGTTGTGAGAAGTGCACACATGCGTGTGAATGTGTGGAAGGCCGTCCATGTCAGCCCACAGTTGTCAGGGTGTCTGTCATGGTTGGTACTGTACTTCACACAACGGTTTTTTCTGTACCCAGTAGCCCAGGACGTGAGTGTGAACTAGTTTAACGTCTTGAGGAGCCACCAGGTTTTTTTCTAGGTAAAGATTTGAGTGTAATTGTCTTGGATATTTGTCACGGCTGAGTCGCTTGCCTCATGCCAGCACGAGGAGCTCTTGTGAGCTTCCTAGTCATCTACACCAGCTTTAGAGTTCAGGGACCCCATCATTCCCACAGGCGTCTTCGCAGAGCTGGGTGCTGTTCCTCATGGAAAAACCACTGGATGAAACGTAAGACTATAACACTTGTCTGTGTACAGAGTCTTCTTTAGGTGCAAAATATTTGTGAAAAGCCCTTGTGCCTGGATTTTCTTCTTGTGCTTGAGTGCTTATGAGAGTAAAAATCCACCTCTTGATCACAGTGTGCTTTAGTGAATACTGACCTCACTAAAGTACTTATGAGTCTGAGGACTAGCTCCAGATACTTGGGCCAGACAGATTTCAAGTGAAAAGGACAGGTAGGAAGCCTTCAGGTTGACTCTGAGGTAGCATTTGCCTTTGATACAGATTCTGTATGATGCCGTTGGGTGGGGAGGAGGAAGACACTGTACAGGTGAACGACAGTGCAGGTTAGTAGTTAGTGTCCAGTCCAGCAGGAGATGCCCGAAAAAGACAGCCTCAGGACAACTGTGATTGCTGTGTTAGTTCTCAGACTTGGATTGGGGGTTATCTCATGAAAGTCCTTCTTTCTTGTTACACCTCAAGTTTTTCCTTACTTCATACCCAGGAGCCCTTCCTCTTCACTGGTCCCTCCCTCGCCTCTGCTGCAGTAGCGCTCCCATCTCCCAGGGAGAGTCAGGAAGGTCAAAGCGATCCTCTTGCAGCTTTGGCTTAGGTCTGTTGTTCAGCTGTGCCATTAGTGTTACTTAATTTAAAATGTTTTTAAGAATCAGGCACTGTTAAAGGCCCCTTACCCACACCTGTCTCTAGCCATATAATCTCCTTTCAGAGACAGATACGTTTTCTGTGCTCTCGTCTTGTTCTCAAACGCCTCTCAGCCGTGTATCTGTGACAGTCTAGATTAGTTACTTTCTCATTGCTCGGTCAGACACCCTGACAACAGGAACCGATGGGAGGAGGAGTTTATTTCTGACTTGTATTTATAGAGCGATATAGTCTGTCATGGCAGGGAAGACACGGTAGTTACATTGAACAGGAAGTAGGGCCTGACTTTAAATCAACAGCAGCTGCCCGCAGTGACCTACTTCCTCCAACAAGGCCTCATTGATTACCTTCCCAAATAGCACTGCCACTCAGGGACTAATGGATCACACATGGGCCTATAGGCACATCTCATAGTCAAATCGTAACACTCCCCAGCAATCAAATGCTAGCATACTCACACTGTACTCCTCCGTTCTCAGTCTGGTTTTCAACAGAAGTACTAGGCTTATAAAGAAAAGGCAGTATGCTCGTCTTCATCTAAGAAATAACATCACCTACTTACCAGTTATTGGGAAAGTTTTCCAGCAAGGAGTGGGAGAGAGAGTCTTCCCCAGAAAAGAACACACCAATTGGTTGTCCAGTGTGAAATGGTCAGCCCTAAAGCATGCTTCCATGTGACATAATAATATACTGAACAGGGACATACTAAGGAAGATGGATGTATGTGCACATACAGATGTGCATGCAATAACAGTGAGAAAAGAGGCCCTGAATCTGGTGGGGAGTGGGGAGGCATATAGGAAGGTGTGGGTGGAGGAAAGAGGGAGAAATGCTGTAATTATAATCTCAGAAATTATTTAGAAAGTTACCCACTTGCCACCTGATTGTTTAGGGTGATGGCGGAGCTCACGGCTTAACTAGGAGAAACTCTTCTCGGTGTGATAGAACTCCCGAGAGTCTGGAACGAGAGGGAGATGCATTTTCTCCTTAGTTATGTGGTCAGCGACAGGACCTGGGCAAGCTGTCTCCTCGCCTATGGTCGTGCACACTGTAGTGCCTCTGCTCCAGGCGGGCACTGTGAGGGTCAGTGCAGCACGACAGCAGGAAAATGCCGCCCTGACCCTCTCCGTGGTGCTGAAATGATCCGCCAAACCACATTCCAATGTCAGGCAGCTTCCATAGGCTTTCTGAAGTGTGCTCTGTGCACACAGAGCACCTTTCTTGATCTCCACGAGACAACATAAGCTACGTGTCTCCAGATCTTCACTTCTTTACAAATTAGCCGTAACCTTTAGCCGCTGAATGCGTTTCATGAAAAGACTTGATGTGTAGAGAAGAAAAGTAATTTTCCTACCCACCAGCACAGGGATGTCCACAATGGCCTTCTCCGAAGTGGGAACCTGCTCAGTGAGTCCAGTCTGAGAGCCGCTCCAGCACAGGCACGCTCCAGCCATCTGCCTTCTTCAGGATCAGAAGAGGCCGCTCTGTTTAGAGGAAGATTACAATTTTCCAGGAGTGGCATTTGTAAATCCTGGGGTAGCAGGGGGAGAGAAAATGCTGAGTCAGGAAACCCTCAAGCTGCACATGGTGACACCTCTGCCTGTAATCCCAGCACTGGAGAGGTAGACATGGGAGATCAGGACTTGAAGGCCAGCCTTAAGCTACATGGCAAGCCTAGGCTACATGGGACCTTGTTTTAAAAAAACAGAAAAACCTTAACATTACTGCAGGTGGAGTTTGGTTGTGGCAGTGCACATATGTAGTGTTGGACAAGTGCATGTTGTCTTGGAGACGGGGAGGGATGTTTCTGCTTCTCCTCCCTGATATCATATCCATCTCCAGAGGCATCTTTGGTGGGATTTTATCTCTGTGCTTCTACTGAAGGCTACCAAAAGGGAAAAAAATCTAAGAGTTCAGCTCACGTAGCTCAGCACAGGTGCAACATGATATTCTGACAAAACAAGGCAACGTGTAATAGAAGTTGTTCTTATCAGTCAGCTATGTTAATTTCCGCTCTATTCAAACCTCACAGAGAAATGCATTTTCTGCAAATGAAACTATCAGTGGAGAAAATGAGACCTTTAAACATGTAAGAATATCTGTAAACAGTGATAAGTTTAAAAAAATTGAAGTTAAGAAACTTTCCTTATTGCTTTAAGTTTGTTTGTAATTTTATTGGGGAAAAAAATGATGCAGGCAGAAGGCCAAATTGTAGGGCTCCATCTTATTTAATCTCCTAGGGACTGATGTGTGCAAATTTATATTTTTATATATAAACCAACCACCTCATTCAGATACCATAGGGGAAGTAAGCCTGCTTGCTGGCTGAATTTTTGTTTTTGGAAAAGAAGAAAATCATTTTATAGGTCATTTGATTAAACTAGCCTCCTGAAGACTCCATTTAATTCTTAACATTGTTCGGCATGGAATTAACACAAGTACCAAGAATGGATGCACCTGTGACATTCCTTTGGAGGCTTAGCCGTGCTAGCATGCAGTTGACGCTCAGAGCGGAGCCCTTATCCTCCTGTCCCGCTGACTCACCTGGCTATGACCATTTCCTCCCTCTCAGGGAGATACAGCTCTGAAAGTGACGTGTGGAGCTTTGGCGTCCTCCTGTGGGAGACCTTCAGCCTAGGAGTCTGTCCGTACCCTGGAATGACGAACCAGCAGGCCCGGGAACAGGTGGAAAGAGGTAAGCCAAGGCCTGGGTGTGTCACATTCATGTCCACCAGCCTCAGTGATCTGTGTTCATGGGCACCAGGACAGCGGTGCCCATGGCGTGTCCGCCACCAGATCTGGGAGGGAAGGGTCGCAATGCTGTAGGGAGGAACATGTCAGAGTAGTCTGTTTCCAAACACCATGGGTGCTATGGCTCCCGTAGAACAGGGCAAAGCCTTGCGAGCCAGCCCATGTCCCATAGGTGTATCTATGTATCTATGAACATGTATCTATGAACATGAACGTGTATCTATGAACATGGTCAACACAACTGTGAACTTATTTAAAACATTATTTTCTTTTGCAATTTGTTTTTTGTAACTTAATTGCAGTTCTCCAGTGTGAACTCTGTAGATACCAGTCCTGCACGATCACAGTTTATGAGATCGTGTCCGTGTGCAGGGCCCCTCCACTTTAGAGAGAGAGAACACCACTTTTGTCCTGCCCCACTGAGGTGACGGAAGGCAGGCTGCCTTAGACAGATCCCTGTGGTATCCCAGGGGAAAGCCTTCAGTTTCCAGAAGGGATTTAGAGAGGCTGTGGTCTGAAGAAGTGCCGTGGTCCTCCTGACGGAGACAGGCAGGCCCAGGTGGCAGCTACACTGCGCACATGCTTGTGTCGGACACAGCTTCCAGCGAGAGCCATGTTCTGATCAGGTCTGCCCCAGCCTGGCTCCTGTGGCCAGCATGCCTAGCGTAGCCCGGGTGTGGGGGTGCCTGCCTTCCGTCCTCACACACAGACAGCAGCCTGTGAAGGCTGGAACTTGTTCCTTCTCTGCTCAGTGCAGAATAGAGCCCTCTCTATCTCCAGAGTCTGCATCTGATAATTCTGGAAGCTGATCCTCAGAACTCAGCTGTGTATGTGTGTATGCTACAGCTTCCTGCAGGTCTGCCGACACACACACGGCTCTGTGATGCCATCTGCCAGAGGGACACCTGACACCAGCAGTGATCTGTAATTTCTGCCCTGCTTACAGCATAAGGCACTAACACCTACAAGCAGCATACTACACACAGCGTAATGCCCTGTGTGAGTGTTCATATCTTCCCCGGCTCTGAGTTCTCTCCTCTTCTGAATCTTCAGGATACCGGATGTCGGCCCCACAGAACTGTCCAGATGAGATTTTTAAAATCATGATGAAGTGTTGGGATTATAAGCCTGAGAACCGCCCTAAATTCAGCGACCTTCACAAAGAGCTCACTGCCATCAAGAAGAAAATCACATAGTGCCAGCAAGGGCCAGACTCCACCTATGGGACTCTGTCCTCAGCCACCCTGACTTTATACCACCTTACTGCAGCCATCTTTGAAGGTTATGGTTTTTATTAACTGGGTTTTTAAAAGTCTGTTCCACTTTAAATATGTTAAAGGCAAATTTATTCAAGAAATAAACAGTCCTACCCAGGGCCGTCTTAGCTAACACAAAACCCTACCGTTTGAGGCCACTGTGCAAAGAAAAGCGCAGGCCTAACTGAGAAGATAACAGGCCTTTGTTTTCCTGCCCAGGACCATTGGTGTCCCTCCAAAGTCTTCTTGAGGCACAGCCCGTGGGCTTCTGCCGCAGGCCCTCCTCAGTCGGTGCTATAAACAGCGTTGGTAGCGCACGCTCGCATGATGCCTTCCCACCACAGTGGGCTTTCTCCTCTGCCAAGGCGAGATTGTATCTATAAATATAATCATATATTGGGAATTACTTGGACCTCCTAGGGTTTTTCTTTTCTTTCCTGTCAGAACAAGCCCAGTGAGAGCATCACACCCCTGTGTTATTTTGTCTTTTCCCTCCTCAGTCCAGGCTGCAGAAAGTAGTGCGTGGAAAATTCCCAGAGAGCACGCAGGATGGAGGCAGCTGCTTCTGCAGGAGACTGCAGAGGACAGGGATGGCAAGAGACATGTGTGACCAGGATGGCAGGCTGGGAAAATAGCAACTAGCCAGTGCCCAACAGGGAGAAGACAAAACAGCCGGCCTTCCTTCCAGATTTGCACCTTTATAATACACTGTGTCTGTGGTCTGAATTTCCCAACAAGGGCTAAGAAATGTTTCAGGAGCTCCTAGAGCCTAGTGGAAGCTTTCTTAGAGATACTGAAGTCACAGAAGGGGCAGCTTGATAATAACCATGTGTCTTCGTCCTAGGGGACAGTCCCAGAATGGAGGTCCCTTTCTTTGTACCAGTTTCTGAACCTTCAGAACCCATGGTTCATATGCATAGACACATCCACATACACCCACTGAAGAGTACTGTGGCTAGGAATGAAATAGATGGGTCAGAAATCAAGGACTTTTGATGAAGAAAAGCCCTAGGGATGCCCACACTTCTGTCTCCTCTTTGCCCTAAAGGCAGTGCCCGGAAACCTAATAGCTCACAGGTATGCAAGCAGGCTCATCATTAAAGGTGTCTCTGACCTATCAAGTGTACAGCAGTTAAAACTAGGATTTGGTTGAACTGAATCTCAGCTGTGTCCAGGGAACGGCCCCATGATCTGTCCACAGTTGTCTCAGGATCAGTGTGTCTGGGAGGTGCTCTCACTCAGGGGAAGATGTGGCGCAGAAGTCTTCACTAAGCCCTCAGGCCTCTGTTCAAACAGACATCACCTTAGGGGTTCCTTGGCCTGTGTTGAAGAGCAAGTCCCTCCCTTCCCTTCCGGACAGCTTAGAGCATAGAGCAGACTCTAACTTCCAGAGGAGGCCACTGCAGAGGAGTGTGACTGTACCCATCATTCCAGCCTCCTCGCTCACTTTCTACACATTTAAAGTTCGTATATGCAGACTAGAGTAGAGGCCGTGTGCGCCTGCCCACAGCAGTACGCTGCCCCACACAGAGCAGCCCTGGCACAGCACGGCGCCCCGCAGGTCAGACACTGCTAAAGCAGAGCTCGCTTTTAATGGCACCCACCATGGAAACCCAAGCGCAGACTCCAGAATTCAGAGTCGGCGCTGTGCTCTCCAGGCATCTGCCGGCCCTCAGAAGGAGATAAGAGGTTCCCTTTCAGGATTTCCAAGTCAATCCGCCTATAATACAATTCTTGTCTATGAAAAAGAAAGGAGCACATCTCAGCACTGCTCTCCCAGCCAGGGAAAGGAGACTGGCTTGGCTCTAACTCTGTGAACAAGACCCGAAGCTTAATCCTTGCATTCTGCTGGAAAGAGAACATGGCGTTGATAATTTCACTCATCTAGGCTGTTGGGATTTGCAATTCACATCATAACTCTTTGCTTAAATTAAAAAAGCTTTTCAAAACATCTTGACATCTGCAGCATTTAAATTCTATTTTCTTCTTTGTCCCAGAACAGGCAGAGGTACAGTTTAAGATTAACTCATTGGGAGCCTTTCAGGATCATGTCAGTTGTATAGAATATTAAATTTAACATAGGCGCATGCATTGAGAAAAGCTTATGCAAAACATTCTTACTGTTAATTTTGTTATGCTCGAAGCATAATTTATTCATCCCTTCTGTCACTGATAATTATTGGAATTATGTACTTTAGGAGGCTAATCCATACCCAAAAAGTGCACATATAAATACAGTTCTGATTTGCAAGTTGATTTAGGGAAAAGAGGCTATAGACATGCACAGAATTCTAGGATTTGTCTCGTTAAATAATAATAGTAAACAGTGCTGCCCAAAATTACCCACTAGTGCTGATACGCTTGAGCCTGGCCGCAAGCCTTTATTTTACTAATGGATTATCCAAGAGTTGCTGGTAGCCCTGCTCATAGCTACCCTCAGCACTCCTTCAGTGTGGCCATCTGGGCGTGAAGGAGAAGGCCATAAACCCGAGCAGGCTGACTTTCTGCCTGCCTTTTCCTACCTTGAATCACAAGAAGCCTTCATAAGAAATGAGTAGTTCACTGTTTTTAAAGAAGGGAACTTTTCTGCCAAATCGGCATCCTTGTGTGTCCTGTGTGGCCTAAGCTCTCTTCTCAAAGCCATTTTTTTGGGAAAACCATAAGTGATGTGATGCTTTCTTCCAGCCCCTCCCGCTTCAAGGTCCACAGGGACGTGCGCCCTGTGATTTCTTCCTCCTTTTTCCTAGACAACAGGGACAGTAGAGTTCGTTCCCATCACAGCTGGCACCTCACAGACATCAGTATAGCCTGGAGTCAGCAGTGGGCATCTCACAGGCGGTCCCACAGAACGGTTGTTTGGGAAACAGAATTTTTATGACTGAGATTGTATTAGTTTCCTTCTGAGCCCCATTTCTGTTCACTAGCCCCCCTGACCAACTCTACAGTGCTGGGACCAAGACTGTTGTTAAGCAAGCATTTTAGTTGCAATATGTGCTGCACCCTGGGACTCAGGGAGCGAGCAAACCAGCTGCAGGCACAGATCTGTGGGGTGTGTCGTGGTCAGAGGAGTATGAGGCATAGCCCTTCATGGTCCCCTAATCCCGTGTGTCCTTGACGCAAGAGTGACATCTGAAAGGGGCTGTCTGCCTGAGCCCTCTTCCTCCCAGCCCCCTCCTGTCACGCCGTCGACATCCTCCCTGTCTCTTGACAGCAGATGCGATTGTCACAGAAGATCCAAGCCCTCATACAAACTAGCACAGAACTGAGAGAGCTGCGGAGACGCTTTATGTGCCATTATCATCAGTAGATGATATCAAAGCTTTCATTTGACATGAAATCCATCTTAAAGCGGCATGAGAGTTTACTATTAAAATTATTACCTCTTATTAACGGATTTACTCTAAATATCACTATTTTAAATTGGATTTTTTTTTTACTTTATATTTTTCTGGACTTACTAGTTTCATGTCAAGTGTGACTGTGTACTATGTATCACTCATTTCTGTATAAGAAACTGATTGAAAAGCCAGCAAGCTCACCCTGCAATGAGTTACTGATACAGACTTAAGCTCCTGTAAAATGTCCCTTTGAAAGTCACATTCTAATACAGATGGTCAGTCAACTATATATCACTGCCCTAAGTCAGTTTGAGAAATGTACTGTCACCTCCACAAGCCACCCCACTGCCCTCTACTGAGTCAAAGATTAAATTCAGGACTGGCATTAGAACCACTCTGTCCTGACAGGCATGAAGATTCTGGGACATCAGGGGGGGCGGGGGGAACCTGTGCCCAAGAGCAATGAGCAGGGCGCAGCAGGTCTGTAAGTGAGCTGCCTAGGCATGCAGGGAGGCAAAACAGGAAAGAACCAGTTCCCTGGAGCAGCGGGAGAAAGTGGACAGGACCGACAATGCCCCTTGAAGCCTGAGGAAACCGCCAGGTGTCAAACTGTTCCCACAAACCTAGAACAGATCAACGGCCCCAAAGCTGCAAAAGAGCCAGGGCCACTCCCTGCAGCAGGAACTGCTTGGCACGCCGCCCAGAACTGACACTGGGCCACGTGACGTTCCACGTGCTGCCCTGTGCTGGGTCCTGAGGGGGAGGAGCCAAAGCCTCTACATTTGCACTAGTTATCAATGCTCAAACATCCGTGGCGAAGGCCACGGGTTCTTCATGTCTCATTAGATAGCTTTTTTATGCAGTAGAAGCTAAGTCCTAAATGAGAACATGCTTAAGTCATCTTGTGACACCTTTGACCAGTAGTAAGTAACTCCCTGGTTCCTGGAGTTCCCTGCTGAGGGGCCCTGCTGTGCTGCACTGTCTGTAGGGAAACAAAGCAGTGGGGGAAGCTGGAAAAGTAGCCATGTTTGTTGACTTTACACTAGTAACAATTAAGAGAAGGAGAAAAATAGAAACATTCTGAGGCCAAGCACAGTGCAGTGGGGTAAGGAAGTGGGCATCCAGCAAAGGCATCTGGGAAGACAGGGCAGTGAAAACATCAGAGACCCACGGAAATGCCCAAAGACCAGGCAACAGGGAATCCGCCTCCTAATGGACAGTCCCAAACATAACACCCCTTCAGCCTCTAGAACAGTTTCTCCAAGGGCTTCAGTAGACTCTCTGGTCTGTCTTGTGCCCCAGCCCCACTCCCAGGTCTCAGCTTTCCCTGCAAAGCTACAGAGGTTGGCATTGAGTGCATTTCCTAAGCATGGGGAAACTGAGTTACAGCACACACAGCTCAGTGTGGGGTCTACAGGAAACTGTCAGATGTCTCTGGGTTTCACTTTAGTAATAGAAAACTGTAACACGGCAGGTTTAGCTTCCTTACTTGTAAGAATCCTCATGCAGAAATATCTACCGAGATCTCTCTTTGAACTTCAGGATTATGTGCCCAAACATCTGTTAAGCCAGTAAGATGCAGGTGTTCCACAGAGGCCTGGAGTGCTGGGTGACAGCAAAAGACCTGCCACGGAATGTTTCCCCTCCCTTCTGCCATGCCAGGCCCAGGAAGGCTAAGAGCTGCCGCTTTCCATACTCGGTTTTGACTGCTGGCTACTATCCTTTCTCATCTTCGGCTTTGCAATGTTTCTCTTTACCAGAACAGAAAAGCCTTAATTGTTGGCTTATAAACCCAAGAGTTCTTCTCAGGGCTTCTCTGCCTAACAGGAAGTGCAGGCCTCTTTTGAGAAGCCCAAGCACACAGTGAGCCTATGAGAGGAGGCGACCTGTGGAGATGGCCTCGTTAGGCGGCAGGTATGCTGTATGAGCGGCCTTGCCGGCAAAGGCTTGGGGACTTTTTCTAAGGACATGAAGACCACTGTGGGCATGTCCAGGTTCCTTATTGTCTTGAGCTAGCAAGCTGACCTCCTGCCCCCAAAGAAATAGTGGGACAGAATACTCCACAGTAACGCCCTGGACATCCACACGCTACTCCAGGCTAATTCACTTGGTGTCCTCTCCATCCTTCTTAAGAGCAATAGCTAAGTTAGTCAAGTTACATCATGTTAAGTGGTCTTCCAAAGCTTCAACTAAGAGGGCACGATGAGGGTTCAGAGTAAGCCAGTGTGCCTTACTAGATACCCCAGAACACTGTACGAAGACATCAGTTCTCCTCGTAGCTTCCCAGAGTACCTCCCTTCCTGGAAAACCAGACATTGCCACTTTCCCTGTCTGTTAGGAATTTCTGTAGCATCAGATAAGTAGGCTGTAAATGCCACCCAGCAGATGCTAGACTGGCCCCGTAAGAAGCCAGGTGTCTGCCTGTATCCACCAGAGCAAACAACAGAACCCCATAAGAGACACGCCTCAGGCACCTGTGAGCGTAGCAAGAACCCAAGAATGAAAAGAGAAGTTGCCTGGATGTCTAAGTTCCCGTTCCCGTTTTCCTTGTGGATCACTTGTCAAATCACCCTGAGGTGTTTGAGTTTCCTGACAATCACTGCAGGGCAAACAGTGAGCCCCTGTGTTCAAACCCTTAAGGGCTAAGAGGACTCAGACAGCTGTTATTGATACTCTGTGTTAGCTCACCATTCCCTGCCTCTTCTTTTCTAAGGGTTTTCCTCTTAGAAAGAATTTGGTGGGGAAAACTTGCTTGCCAGCTCCTCAGATAATGCTGGACTTGTTAGCGTGTACAAGCACAGTAGCAGGCTTGACCCTCACCCAGAGCACAGAGGGCTGTGGTAAATCAGCCACAGGGTGCTGCGGGGCATGTCCCATGCTAGAAATCAGAAGAGCAACACGAAGCACAGCAAAGTTCCACTGTGAGAGAATTTCCCATCACTCCTCAGACCCTGGGCCTTGCACAGACACAGTACCCAGGATATGGACACATCCCAAAGGAACTCGCTTTTTATTTACTGCCAGTGGGATAGTCTTCTCCAGCTTCAACAGGCTACTACTATAGGTAGGCTTCACAACCAAGTGACTCTGAGCATCAAATCAAACATAAAAGAAGCTCATTTAGTTCAAATTCAGGGTCAGAGTGGCCAGAGACACAAAATACCCTTTGTCTGCTGGAATTTCACTTAATTAACATAGTGTCTGTTGCCCAGCTTTTTCACGTGATACAAGGTGTCCTTGTGGGCACAGTTCTTGTGGGACAGCTCCATCCTCCTTCATAGACCACCAAGACTGACTGCCAAATCAGCTTCTTGCTTCAAACACCTCTAGACGTTTAACTGCCCATAGGTTTTAGGTTTGTGTTTCAGTGTGTAAAGGACTGAGCAACTGGGGACAGCGGGAATGAATGCTGGTGCACACTCTGTTGACTTTGAGCCATAGTTTGTGCCTGGGTATTTTAGTCTGGTCCGAGTGCTTTGGTAAGTGCTCTAGAATGCCAGAACTCTCCAAAAGCATAACTATACAACCACATCAAGTTTAAAGAGAATACAAGAGAATAGAAGTTAGCATCAGAGACACACAAATACTCTGACTTCTTCAGGAATCCAAGCAAACTGAGCACAAAAAAAAAAAACCCATCACACTCAATGGGTGCCCGAGGCCATGCAACTACTGTGGGCTTTCATCCTCCTCCCCCATTTTCCCAGCACAGGAGACAGAGAGCAGGAGCAGAAATACAGTTTCCTGAGTTGCTTTCTCTGCTTGTTACTTGGAGATGAACTCAGTGTTGAGAGAGCAGGGCTGCCCTCAGCTACCTGCTGTCTAAGTGTCCTGTCTGCAAGCGTCATTGTGAACCAAGCACCCCTGCCTTGTGGTCAGTTCGCAGTTTTCTTGGGCACCAGTGTATGGCCATTTTAATACCAGGTTAAAGCACCTTTAATCTCTTTTTTGTTTAAAAATAATATATTTGTGAAGTGGATAAAAGAAACACTGGAAATAGGGTGCTTCTGAAAATATCAAGTATAAAACATGTTCAGGGTCCACAGTGGCTTTTCTGGCTTTGTAAACAATTCTGAAAGTGGACGACAGTTACGCATGTAGCAGTTGGTTGTCTACCTTTGGTCGTTTGTATCTCTCATCTGTCTTTAACATGTATTTATTTGTTATATTTTGCATTCAGAAGAAATACACTTTGAATTTTGGCTAACATTACAGAATGTTCTGAAAATTGCCTTCTACATTTTTTTAAAACAGACTCGCCATTTTTGTAAAGTTGGGCCATTTTGGGGGGACAGCCTTCTTTTCTCCTGCCAGAGATCAGTTCCCATCCATTGGTCTGCAGGGCCTGTTCACTGTGTTCTTGTAATAATGTAAAATATTTACAGCAAACTGTGCCGTGTCTTGTTTGATCTTTCTGCCGTGTTTACATTTCTCTTCCTCTACCACATAAATATGCTCAGGAAAGAAGAAAATGAAAGTGAGGTTTCCATGGTAACCAGGCTCCTCTGGCTGTAGCACTGCATGAAATTATTAGCTTTGGGTTTCTCGTAATTAAGCGCATCAGTCCTGATGATGATGGCTATGCTGCCCCAGTCCAATCGTCTCTTTCTGTAGAGATCTCAAGATTGAAATGCAATCCGAGTTTTCTGTGTGCTTCAGGACTTTGCCAGGATTTTCTTAAATGTATTGTGGGGGATTTTGTTTTGTTTTTCACAACATGACTTGTTTAGCTGTAACATGAGAATTTAGGGGGAAAAGGTGGCTGGAGCCGATACTTGGAACCACGCTGAAGTGCAGGAAGCTCAAATACCTACCTGTCCATCATGCTCGCTCTGGTGCGGGGCTTGGCTTCTGCATGCCCATCTCAATACTGCATGCTGTTATTTACCTAGGTTTTGGTTGGTCCCATATTTTCTCTGTCGCTTACTTTGTCTGCATTAAGCCAAGCCCTGTCTCCTAAGTCCTGAGCTTGAGTAGTTACCCCAAGTAACTGCTTTTGTGTTCCCAGGGCAACCCACAGCTTCTTAGGTGTCTTAGTTTGTGTTACTATTAACTGGAGTGGAATACCATGACCGAAGGTAACTTGGGAGGCAAGGGTTTGTTTGGCTCACACTTCCACATCACTGTTCATCATGCAAGGGAGCCAGGACAGGAGCTCAAACAGGGCAGGACCTGGAGGCAGGAGCTGATGCAGAGGCCATGGAGACTCGTTGCCTATGGCTTGCTGAGCCTGCTGTCTTATAGAACCTAGGACAACCAGTTCACAATGAGCTGGCCTCTCGACCATCAACCATTAATAAGAAAATACCCTGCCTGCAACCTGATCTTGTGGGTGCACTCCCTCAGTTGAGGTTTCTTCTCTAACTTGTGTTGAGTTGACATAAAGCCAGCCCGTGTTCTATGATAAGCACAGCACCCATCCCATCTGACCTCACTGCTCTTACAGCACCCAGTACCCTCTGGGTGTTTCTGGATTGGAGCACCTTCTGACAGCCCATCACAGTCTGTGTGGGAGTTGAGTTGCTTGCCCAGCATCTCTGTCTGAATCCTGGACCAGCTCTGCCTTTCTTGACTTTGTTAGGACCAGGTACACCTGTCACTCTGGCTTCCTGACTGAATCCCATTCCCCATAAGGAAAGAGCAGCATCTCTGGAAATCCCGAGTTTCCGTGGCACTTGAAGCCTATACATCACCGTGCCCTCCCTTTGGCTAGTGATTTCTTCGGCAGCCGTGATGTTGCTCGTAGAAAATACAGGAGCAAGGACTCGTTTCTATTAAGAGCATTCCTGAAATCGTGTGACATCTCTCCCCATGAACCTCAGCAGGTATTTCCCCGCCATCTATGCTGGCACATTCTCCTGGGAATTTCCACCTCAGGAACTGGTACAATTCTGATCAGAATGGAGTTCCAAGCACCCACCGCACTTTTAAAAAGCTCAGAAACCCAAGACTGAGTCTTGACAGGCAGGAAGGACAGCAGCACACAGTCTTCAGGACAGAATGTTTCCTATGAGCGGAGTTGCTATGATTCCTGCTCCTGCGCTCTCCACAGCCCTGGGTTTTGCCATCCACAAGCCTTGTTCTCTAGCTTCTGTTGGCTGTGGTGCTCACCTCCCTACATGGCCTCATGATGGCCTTCTAACTGATCCCTTTCACCTCTGTCAACAGTTTTCCATTTCTGTTGCCTCCTGACAACACTGATCTCAAAGGCCCCTTCTAGCATTGAGATTCTCTGATCTCTAAAGTCTGAGATCATTTTGGGGGTGGGGGTGGATTCCTGAACCATCATTGCTCTACAGCGTGAGTTCTGGCCCTTTGCTTATTGCTGGGCCAGCTTTCTGACAAACGTCAAGAGATGCAACTCTAAAGAGGGTTATTGTGTTCATTGTTCAGAGCCTTTACTGTGGTCACTTGGCCCAGGTGACTTGGCCTTGTTGTGACACAGGACATCATCACAGAAGTCTGGCAGAGAAGGCCTGATCACATCATGGCAACAAGAAAGATGATCATCTAGGGTCCTCATACTCCTTCAAACTCATACCCTGGTGACCTAACTGCTTTCCGCTAAGCCCCACCTCCTAGTAGTGAGAGAGCTGGAGGCCAGCCATTCCCCCAGGGCCATTCAGAAGTGCTGAGACACAGAAACACCCTGTAATGAATTGCTGGTGGCTCACTTTAAGCCTTTTGCCCATTCTCAGCTCAGGGATCAGGTGGTTCCGGTATCTGTTTCTTTTGTAGTCTCTCTCTGGTAAGCAGTGATGACATTGGGCAGGGAGGTGAAAAGATCAATAGAGAAGACATTGTTAACGGCTAATTGACCTACCATGGAATACAAATATCAGAATCAGTAGAAAAATAAATGTCACAGGGAGCTAAGGCGCTGGTGGCTTTAGAAGAGATTCTTCTAGCCCACCTGTCCCAGATGTCAGTGGGTCTTCATCTTATCCCACATCCAGAGATTTTTGCCTTCTTGCTGAAAACACTTAAAAGCCTACCAGATGTTTCCTCCAGAACTGAGTAAAAGCCAATAAATGATTTACACCTATAGGTTCTAACAACACACTTGTCTCTCAGCAGCCCCTTGTGACCCCTGCGTCTGCCCACCCCCGTGTGCCCCCCGACAAATATCAGAGTGATGATGCATTCCCGTAGCCCAAATGACACTGAGGAAGACAGCAGGACATCAGTGTCTCATGAAAGGAAGTAGGCAGGAGGGGATTTGGTCAGTGATGTCATAGTATGACGTGTCATATGTATGTCATAGTCTTAGGGACTTCAAACAGGTCAGACAGACCTAGATACAAGCAGCTCCCAATTGAGAGCTGCATAAAGCATTAGCCTCCCAAGGAACAACTCAATGTTGCACAGAACAACTCAGTGCTAGGCTGCAACTTTCTCTAGTGGCAACCAAGTAAGAGAAGGGACTGCCATCAACCCCAGCCAGGTCACTCCAAGGGCTTCTAAAAATAAACCACATCAAATTCAGCCTTCCCCTTTGTGGCTCTGGCAGCCACAGAAATAGTAGACCACTTTTCTTCCTTCCTTGGTCTCTTCCCATTCCTTCCTTCTCCCTCCTACACACCCTTTCTTGTGGTCCTACCTCAGTCACCCCACAATTTCTTATGGAGAGCAGATGTTCCAGGAAGGTGAGTGTGACCTTGCATCTGCTGTAAATGCGCATTCTTCAGATGCTGTGCTAGAAGGCCCAGAAGTCACAGGATCCATCAGCAGGTATAATAGAGCAGAGGGTTGACTGAAAAGGGCAGCAGGAAAAACACCTGATACCTGAAATTTGCTAGTTTAGCAAATAAATTTCACCAAATCTCCTAACATCCCAAACTTAATAAACAACAAAAGGGTTACAATAGGAAATGAAGCTGAAAATGCATGAGCTGAGCATTCGAATGAACCCATTAGAAAAATGGCGATTCTGGGGCTTAATGTTTCCTAACAATGAATTTTGGAGTCATGAACAGCTTTGTCTCCCTCTCCTCAAATGTTTGGCAGTGTTGTAACTGGGGACTGACTGGCTAGCAACTTAGGCACAGCCCAGGAATGCTGCTCAGCAGATTACAGGACACATCCCAGAACCTTCCATTAAAGAATTTTCTGGCCTCAGAAGCCAATAGTGCGCTTGCTGAGAGCCCTGTGTTGTATCTGAATATCCATCCTAGAGCAAGGTCACTGGGAGACGTCACTGTACAGATTTTAAAGGTACAGTGGATGACAAAAAGGTTTAAAATGTGTTCTATTTTCCATAAATTGGCATAAGGATGACACAGAAGCAATCGACAGGATGGAGAAAGCTGAGTCCTGATGAGACTTAAAATATCACATTTAAAATCATCCCCTGATGAAATTTCCTAAGAAGGAAGAAGGATGAGCCATATTCGTCATGAAAAGGTCAATTCAAATACACAAACAGCCATTGAACAAATGAGTGATTATAATCTTCATGCTGACAAATATGAAAAACTTAACAGAATTGACAACGTCCTAGAAAAACCTTAATGTACCAAAGCAAAATCAAGAAGAAGTAGACACTCCAGAGAGTAGGACTGAAGCCAGATGTTTAAAATCTTCCTGAGGGCAGCAAGGCAGATGCCTAACTCCAATACCGGTGGGACCCAATGACGGAAGAGCAACGACTCTTGTGAGTTGTCCCCTGACACCCACGCACAGGCACCAAGACACATGCAGACATGTAAGTGTAAGAAAACGTTCAGTCTTCCAGGGAGCTAGAGAGTTCTTCTCATGCCAGAACTCTAAACAAATGTTTATAGCAGGTTTTTCCCCATAACCCCAAACTAGAATCATGCAAATGTCTTCAACAGGTAAACAGTCAAGACAACCATTGTTCATTCATCCCCTGCCCCCTAAAAATAAAAAGAGCAAAATAGTGATACGCAATTGATATAAGCCTCAAGGAGAGTGTGTTCAGTGAAAAGGCCAATGTTGGATGCACACTGATTTCACTTGACGGAAGTCACACTGCTGTGGGTTAATCCTTGTGTACACTGTAAAGATTTGTCACTCGTATTGGTTTAATTAAATGTTGATTGGACAGTAGCCAGGCAGGAAGTATGGGCAGGCAAACAGACTAAGAGAATTCTGGGATGAAGAAAGGAAGAGGTACAAGTCACCAACCAAACACAGAGGAAGTAAGATGAGAAAGCCTCACTGAGAAAAGGTACCAAGCCATGTGGCTAGTTTAAACAGATAAGAATTATGGGTTAATTTAAGTTGTAAGAACTAGTTGATAAGCCTGAGCTAATAGGCCAAATAGTTTTTAATTAATATAAGCCTCTGTCTGTTTCCATTGGACTGAACGGCTGCGGGATCGGGCAGGACAGAAACTTCCAGCTACATCACAGAAATGATGGAGCTGG